AAACTTTTTTAGACACTGTATGCAAGTGTCAAATTACATCTTTGGCGCTTAATGAGTAAAAAATTATCCCGATCTCTTATGGTTTACACTACAATAATGTAGATCTAATTATGGCTGCTTTATTTCACATTTCAGGGTTAAGGCCTTACAAGCCCTATGAGATATCTATTTATCCCAAATATGTTGACAGGATTGGACGTCCTCTAACCTTAATGGTATACAGCAGTCAGACAGGTGCGTAGTGCTTGGAAATCAGTAATGAATATCTCAGAGCTTCATGTAAATTGGGGAAGTGATGTGCAATAAAGCAAAGCTGGACAATGATACAATACTTCCATCTAGTGGGCTCAGACTTACATTTTCATATATTATTACAGCACCCTCTGTGGCCCCAGAGTTGAATGTTACAGAAATAAATCATTCATATATCAAACTTCACTGGGATGAAATTCCACTTGAGCAGAGAAATGGGATCATTCAAGGATATACCATTTCCTTTTGGCATGAGAGGGACAGAATCAAAGGTATTCAAGGATTTAAAGTTGATAACAGATTTTTGGATGGAAGATTGGAAGTTTTTATTATTATTATTAACCATAATGTTTCTATTCTGTTTCAAGTTATAACGACTGAGAAGACCAGCGTTGTGGTGAGAGATCTTCAACCACTTACCAAATATTATGCCCTTGTGACTGTTCATACGATGGGTGGAAGTTTAAATGGATCAGTTGTGACCCTAGCAACTGGAAAAATTGGTGAATATTTGTTTTATGACCATACTGATCACATGATCATACTGTTTAAATATATAAATATATATACACTCATACATAACGAAATGTACTTTATCAGTTACTATGAAAGTATGAAAATTCAGATGCAGGGATTATGATTTGTAAGTTGTCATTGAAACCTTATTTGGCAATTACATATTAATCTCACATACACATTCATATGAAAAGCAGTGATGACATTTTATAAAATAAAATAACTGTTTTATATATATATATATATACACACTGTAAAAAATGACCGTGAATTT